AAAACAGATTAGCTCAAACAGGGATTAAAAAGAGACCACAACATCAGGCTTAATTCGTCAACATACAACATCCCCAGAGCTGTGCTGGCATCAGCCCAGGATTCTAAAACAGAAAGATATTTAGGGATGATAAAGGGCTGTGTAAATTGAAGCAAAAACAAACAGCTGTGGTAAAATTAACTCCATTCAAAGCAGGAAAAGAATTGTTCTAAACAGGTTAAAACATGCAAGGAAAAAAATAAAAGGAATACATTGTGAGTTTTGCAAAGCCTTCTATTTTAGGGTGTTATTTACCACTTCAATTTTTGTTCTTTACTCAGGTTTGTTTTTTGCTCAAGCAGCTTCGCGGACGCAACGCGCGCGGCGGCGCCCTGGCCACGGGGACTGGCTCTGTGCTGCTCCGCAATGGCGAGCGCGGCCGGACACGGCGCCAGCACCGGCCTGGCAGCCTGGCAGCCAGGGAGAAACGCTGCGTTTAATGGGATAAAACACTGCGTAAATGGAGCTTATTGGGATTTTGGCCCTTTGTGGAGGGGGAATAGGGCCGTTCCTTCTCTTTCAAGAAGGAGCGTGGAGTGTCCGAGAGAAGGTGGAGCGGCACGTGAGGACTGCAGCAGGAGAGGCAGGGAAGCGCCTTCCTCCCTTCTCCTTGCAAGGCAGCAGAGAAACAGCAGAGCCTAGGGGGACTTCTCCGCGCTTGCTCTCAGTAAAATCCTGAGCTCCCTTACCATTCCCAACAGCATTCTGGAGCGTCGTCACAAAGAACAGAAAAGGCAGAATATTTTAAAGAATATTTTCAATATTAGTTAGAACAAAGGTATGTTGAACCTTGAGAAATTCAAGATTAATAAATTCATATATTGAAAAGACAAATGCTTAACCAAGAGGCATGTACACAAACGGCCAAGGCAGATTATCTCATTATTGGTCAGCAATTATTATTCTTAGTTATATTCCTTGCAGAAACATAACCTTGCAGTCTAAACACTCTGTCATTTCGCTTTCCTTAGCACAGCGGCTCTTGCCACGTATCCTTATGCTTTCCTGAGAAGCCCTGCCCGGAGGCAGGAGCGAGCTGCCCTGCAGAGCAGCGTGCGTGGTCGGCAGCGCAGCGCGAGCGGGAGCCCTCAGCGTGCACCACGGGGGCTTCCCCCAGCCCCTGCCCTTTCTGTGAGCGCTGCAAGAGCCAACAAACCCCTCACTCGCTGGGAAGTTCTGCAACCGTGAGATGCCTTAACATCATCCTCATACCCCAGTTACCTTTCCCAACCCCCTCATCCCAAACAAGTACAGGAACACATTGCAAGACTCTAAAAGCAATCACAAGCAAAAGGATCCTCTCCCTGCGGATCACAGAAATATGGCCTGTTGTGCCATAGGAACCCGCAGTAGGAACCCGCTCGCTACGAGGAGCCCAAATCTTTGGAAGGATTTAATGTATTTCTCCCCAACCAACACAATTCTTCCCCACTCCATCCCTTGCCACCTGTATTTTTGTTTTCAAGGCCACAGTATGTTTACTCTTCATCAGAAAATTGTCCCTCATCCAGTTTTTAGCGTTGTTCTTTCTCAGATATTATTTCTCATTGTAGCAGCTGCATATTTATTTTATGTTCTTCTTAGCAAATAAGTTAGAAGTTGCAGACAAAATGAAAATCTCACTGTTCTCTCTCCAGAATTGTAAAGATTGACACTTGGGTTTCTTGATAACTTCGCTCACATTCAGACACCGCTAATTGGAGTTAATAATATCACAAATATATGAATCACATTCATTTCTTTGAACTTTGACTAGCCATCGTTGCTCAGGGATTAAGGGAAAAAAAAACAACAAAAAAACACGTGCTGGAGCAATAGAAAACACAAATTTAAAGTTACTCACGAAGACTTCTGTTTCAACGATCCTGTCTCATCTTCTTCCATTATATCTAATATCTATTACTGACAGCATTGTGGATCCACACATAAAGAAAGAGAGGCAAATATCTGTCATTTTCAGGCACTGTATATGCCCCATTCCTCAGGTGTAGCATTTTTAAAGAGAAAAAAGGCGAAGGAAGGAAGAAAAATTAAACCAGTTAAAAAAAAAATCCAAGAAGCGATTTCCGCAGAAGAGCAGGAAGGTTGTAGGATGGCAGAAAAGAGGGCAGTGAGCAACAAAATTACACGTGAGTAATTTTTTGTTGTTGTGTGTCCCTCTTCAT